AGAGAGAGAGAGAGAGAGAGAGAGAGAGAGAGAGAGAGAGAGAGAGAGAGAGAGAGACAGAGAGAGACAGAGAGAGACAGAGACAGAGAGACAGAGAGACAGAGAGACAGAGAGACAGAGAGAGACATGATGTTAATATAATAATAAAAAACTATTCATCAAAGTCTTTGTAATTCTCTCTTTCTCTCCTCAACAGTGGATGCAAAGAATTCGTGATCGTTTTTTATTTCCTCACCACCTGCAGCCTAAAACCATCACTGTAAGTTATTGCTTTATCAATATTGTGAAAATGAGATTGTTTATTTGAAGCAAAGGATGCTGCTGTGGGTGTTTTTCGCTGCTTAAAGGGCTGCCTTTACTTGGTTTGCAGACATGATCATTGACAAGGCCTCAGTAAGATCTGCGGCTCTTAGAATGCAGAATAAACAGACTTGGAAGGGACCTCGGAGGTCTTCTAGTCCAATCCCCTGCTCAAGCAGGAGCCCCGATACCATTTCAGACAAGTGGTTGTACCATTTCAGACAAGTGGTTGTCTCTTCTTAAAAATCTCCAGGGTTGGAGCATTCACAGCTTCTGGAGGCTGATGGTCTTGTTGACTATCATGAAAGATACATTGATCGGGTGGCCACAGCTGAAGAGATGGAGACTTGGGGTCTCGCAAGACATGGGTCTTCCACCATGTCTGATCTCAAGCAGAAGCCACAAATAGACAAATTTCTCAGAGATAGATCTATCTATCTATCTATCTATCTATCTATCTATCTATCTATCTATCTATCTATCTATCTATCTGTCTATCTCTGCTTCTCTCTCTCTCTCTCTCTCTCTCTCTGTCTGTCTGTCTATCTATCTATCTATCTATCTATCTCTGTCTCTGTTTGTCTTTATCTCTATCTCTATCTATCTATCTATCTATCTATCTATCTATCTAATTAGTTTTTATAGGATTAGAAATGGGGTGGGGTCGGGGTTAGGATTTTTTTTAAAAAAACATCCTTAATATTTAGCAAACAGCATGATGTCTGAGTTCATGTATTTTAAAAAAAACTGAAGAGTAATTAATTATCCTAAACAATATGTTAATTAATCAGTCAATAGCCTTCTTCTTACTAATATATATTCAAACTTACATATCACATTCCTTTCTCTCTGACTCGCTTTTCTAGCCATTGATAAAAACTATCCCATGTTCTAAAATACACTGAGTCTTCTTTCTCTTTTATCTTTAAAGTCAATCTATCCATTTCTGCACACTCTAAAATTTTCTTAATTCGTTCTTCTTCAGTTGGTAAGTTTTCATTTTTCCAATGTTGGGCAAATACCATCCTTGCTGCAGTTCGTACATGTAAAATTAAATATATACAGTCTTTCCCCAGAGAAAATATATTGTGGGAGGATTCCTCTCCGGGGGAGACAGGATCACGAATGATCAGAAGGGATCCCCTAATCAGGGCACTTGATAGAAAATTGATTTATCTTGGTGCCTCTTGGCATAACAGAGGAAGACTTAGAAGAGGGGTCTTCAAACTTGGCCTTTTTATGACTTGTGGACTTCAACTCCCAGAATTCCTCAGCCAGGCACGCGTGCCTGGCTGAGGAATTCTGGGAATTGAAGTCCACACATCATAAAAGGGCCAAGTTTGAAGACCCCTGACTTAGAACTTTCGAGTTTGTTGCTGCTGAACTCTCATCCTCCAGTTCATTATAGCTACTCCTCGACTTAACAACTATTAGTTTAGTGACCGTTCCAAGTTACAATGGCAAAAAGTGATTTAGGACCATTTTTCACCCTGACGACTCTTGCAGCATCCCCCCAGGGTCACATGATCAAAATTCAGACGCTTGGCAACTGGCAGGTACTTACGACAGTTGCAGCATCCCCAGGGGGGTGTCACGTGAGCCCCTCTTGCGACCTTCTGACGAGCAAAGTCAGCAGGGGAGAGCCGGATTCACTTAACAACCGTGTGACTAACTGATCAACTGCAGCGATTTGCTTAAGAACTTTGGTGAGAAAACATCCTGAGACGGTGCAAGTCTTGCTTAACAAATTCCTCGCTTACTGACATAAATTTTGGGTGTCATGGTGGTCGTAAGTCGAGGACCACTGGTACTATCTCTGCGGCGGAGATATTTAAGAAAGCGACAATATCAGCGCCAGTCGTTGGTCTCTCTTTCTCTCTCTCTTTGAATAGGAAGAAGGTACATCAGCCATCAGACTTGTACTCATGAATGAAAAATACCCCAGCCTCAAAGGGCCCAGTGTAAGTTTTGAATTCCTTTAATGAGAGATGAAGATTTGGAGGGGGGATATTTTAGGGGTAGCATCGGGGTGTGTGTGTGTGAACGAGATCGCCGTCTCTCTCGTCGCAGGAATGCCGGAAGAACGAGTGTTGCCGAAAGGATTGCAAGTTCAGAGAAGACATCGACTGCCTGTACGGGCTCTGCTGCGAGACGTGTAAGGTAAGGTCAAAGGCCCCAATCGGAGGCTGAAAGGTATCCAGGCCAGGGGCAGGTGGGGCCGTGACGGCCGTTTGTTGGGGAAAAGGTCTTCAGGAGGAGAGGTAGGACGGAGCCCGCTCTTCGCTCAGCCGTTCCTGCGTCGCGTGCTTTGTTTTGCTAACATAAATGTTGGTGGGGTTATTTCCCAAAGTGACCCTGACAGCTGCAGTTGCTGGCCTTCTGTTCCTTCCTTTCTTCCTTCCTTGTCTCATTCTCTCCTTCCTTCCTCCCTCCCTCCCTCCCTTTCTCTTCCCTTCTTTATCTCATTCTCTCCTACCTTCTTCCTTCCTTCCTTGCCTCACTGTCTCCCTACTCCTTCCATCCCTTTCTCCTTCCTTCCTTCCTTGTCTCATTCTCTTCTTCCTGCTCCTTCCCTCCCTCTCTCTTTCCTTCCTTCTTTGTCTCATTCTCTCCTTCCTCCCTTCCTTCCTCCCTCCCTCCCTTTCTCTTTCCTTCCTTGTCTCACTCTCTCCCTCCTCCTTCCTTCCCTTTCTCCTTCCTTCCTTCGTTTCATTCTCTCCTCCCTCCTCCCTCCATCCCTCCCTCCCTCTTTTTCTCTTTCCTTCCTTCCTTCTTTATCTCATTCTCTCCTTCCTCCTTCCTCTCTCCCTCCCTCTTTCCTTCCTTCGTTCGTTGTCTCCTTCCTCCTTCCACCCTTCGTCCCTTTCTCCTTTCTTCCTTCCCTCCCTCCTTCCTTCCTTCCTTCCTAAATTCTTCCTCGCATTCTTCCTTCCCTTCTCCTCTCCTTTCTTTCTTTCTTCGTTCCTTCTTTCCTTCCTTCCTTCTCATTCTCTTCTTCTTCCTTCCTCCCTCCCTTTATTGTTTTCTTCCTTCCTTCTTTTCTAAATTCTTCCTCTCATTCTCTCCTTCCTTCCTCCCTCCCTTCCTCCCTCCCTCCCTCCCTCCCTCCCTCCCTTCCTTCCTTCCTTCCTTCCTTCCTTCCTTCCTTCCTGTATTTAATCATTCCTCTCTGTTATTGGAAGATAGTTATGAGCAGAGGCCCTCCAGAGACTCCCCACTTTATGGTGGGGGGAGAATGCAGGAGATTTACTGGCCAAGAGTGATTACAGTGGGAACGGCAGCTCCTGATGTTTGCTGATAACGTCAAACAAAAAGGTCAAATAGGTCCTTTACAGACAGTCCTTGACTTAGAACGATTCATTTAGGGACCATTCGAAGTTACAACGGTGCTAAAAAAAAAGTGACCTATGACCGTTTTTCACACTTAGGACTGTTGCCACATTCTCGCGGTCACATGTTCAGTGGAGCAAAACTCACTTAACTGTTCTGTCCCAGCCCACGTGAGTCCTCATTACGCTCCGAAGGAGAAACCCCTCTTCCAACAAGCAGGCTGGAACCGCAGGAAGAAAACCAACCCCATTTTATTATTCACAGACCTGAGTCAGTGTCCAAGGCAAACAAACACAGTTCACAGAAACTCGATTCCGCAACACGAATGGTTGCCTTCAGCCACCAGCACCTCCCACACCTTCCCTTTTATAATTCAGCCAAGGCGTGGCTTCCTAATGCCTTCTCCTTTGCCTTTGGAGCCGCCCCCATTGCATTCCTCTGTCCTACTCTCTTCTCTTGCCGGTGCTTACATGCATCTGGGATTTGTCCCAGCTGTTCTTCATCACTGTCCAACTCAGGCTCCCAGCACAGCTGCGTCTGAGCCTGAGCGCGAGTAGAGGGGCCAGGCTCCTTGTCAGACTGTAAGTCTTGGGGCTCCTCAGAGTCTTCCTCTGATGTCCCTCCAGGCCCCTCCTCCTCCTCCTCTGATTCCTCAGACTCAGCTGCCGAGTCCACTGGCTGGCGGTCGTGGTCATAAGTTGAGGACTGCCTGCACACGTGGATGTTTTTATTGTATTATTTATTCTCTGTAAGCCACAGAGAGCCTTTGGGATTGTGGTGGGTCAGAAAAGTCAAACCACAAAAGGCCAGCGGGACGTTTGCCGCAGGCTGGTCCTTTCTGACGGAAGCGCCGGCTTTTGAGTTTTCCGTCTGAAGCGGAAACTTCTCTTCTGGCCTCCGCTAGTTTTCCGAAACGGGAACCAGGTGCAGAGAACCCGCTTCGGAGTGCGACCTCCCGGAATTCTGCAACGGGACCTCCTACGACTGTCCGACGGATGTCTACAAGCAAGACGGGACCCCGTGTGGCAACCACAACCATTGTTTCCTGGGACGTTGCCTGGATCTCCACACACACTGCAAGGCCCTTTTTGGGCCAGGTAAGGCCAGCCTCTCCTCTCTCTCGAGGCCGCTTTGCTGTCTATGGACTCTGGACAGGCGGACCGTGGGTGGACATTTCACGACCCAACTAGGTAACATCCTCAATGCTGGAAGGGACAGCAGTTTATGGAGAGGAGGAGGAGGAGGAGGAGGAGGAGGAGGAGGAGGAGGAGGAGGAGGACAACTGTGGGGTCCTTGGTGCCCTCTGAGCTGGGTGGTTTTCTTGCAGATGTTTCATGACCCAACTAGGTAACATCATCAGTGCTAGAAGGGAGAGGAGTTTGCAGAGAGGAGGAGGAGGAGGAGGAGGAGGACTGAGTTCCTTGGGGCTCTCTGAGCTTGGTTATTTACTTACAGATGTTTCATGACCCAACTAGGGAACCTCAGCAGGGCTAAGGAGGAGGAGGGGAGCAGCAGCAGGAGGACTGTTGGGTACCTGGTGCTCTCTGAGCTGGGTGGTTTTCTTGCAGACGTTTCATGACCCATCTAGGTGAAATCATCAATTTTGCAAGGGACAGGGGTTTATGGAGGAGAAGGAGGAGAAGGAGCAGAGGGCAGAGGGAGGAAGAGGAAATGGAGGACTGTGGGGTCCTTGGTGCTCTCTGACCTGGGTTGTTTTCTTGAAGATATTTCATGACCCAACTAGGGAACATCATCAGTGCTAGAAGGGAGGAGGAGGAGGAGGAGGAGGAGGAGGAGGAGGAGGAGGAGAATTGTGGGGTCCTGGATGCTCTCTGAGTTTGGTTGTTTTCTTGCAGACGTTTCATGACCCAACTAGGGAACATCATCAGTGCTAGAAGGGAAGGGGGGTTGCAGGGAGGAGGAGGACTGTGGGGTCCTTGGTGCTTGGTGCTTTTCTTGCAGAGGTTTCACGACCCAACCAGGGAACATCATCAGCGCCTCACTTGTGTTTGTGCTTCTCCCTCCAGATGCCCGGGAAGCCCCCCTGAGCTGCTTCAAGGAAATGAACACGCGGGGAGACCGCTTTGGCAACTGCGGCAAGGACGGCTCCGTCTTTCGGAAGTGTCTTGAGAAGTAGGTGGGCTTCCTCGCCCAGGCTGGCTGGGAACATTGGGAAAACCACCGCGGTGCCGAGACCAACATCAAGCCACAGTCTAACCGCGGTGCCGTGGTGCCGCGGTGCCGTGGTGCCGAGACCAACATCAAGCCACGGGCAGAGAGCGACCCCGTTTAGGACAGCCACAAGTGTCAGGGCAGCGATCAAGGGCTCAGGAAATTGGGGGGGGGTTGGATCTAGAGACAACAAACTCTCCAGCGCATAAAGAAAGCTCAAGCGATATTATGAACTCACACAAGCGGGTTAAAGGCACGACATAAAAAGCACACAGTAGTCCTCAACTTACAACAGTTCATTTCGGGACCGTTCAAAGTTAGAACAACACTGAACAAGTTACGACCGTTGCAGCATCCCCAGGGTCACGTGGTTTACATTTGGAGGCTTGGCAACAGACTTGTACTTGTGACAGTTGCAGTGTCCCGGGGGAGGGGGGTGTCACGTGATCCCCTTCTGTGACCTCCTGCTGATGGGGAAGCCAGCAACCATTTTACTAGCTTAACCACTGCAGGGATGCGCGTAACAAATGGGGCAGGACGCGTCGTACACCAGGGCAAAATGCGCCTGAGAAATTTCTTGCTTAGCGACATCAATGTTGGGCTCAGTTGCGGTGGTAAGTCGAGGACTGCCTGTGTACAAAAAAATGTGAAATGACAGCTGCCAGTTACCCGTATCCTGTTGTTCTGTTTCGCTGTGCGACAAAGGGATGTCCTGTGCGGAAGAGTGCAGTGTGTCAACGTGGGGAAAATCTCAAGCGTCACGACGAGACAAGACGTGCTGCAGACCCCGGTGGAGGGCGCCACGTGCTGGGGGACCGAATTTGACCTCGGGGAGGACATCTATGACCTGGGAGCAGTGCAAGATGGGACCAGCTGCGGCCCCGACAAGGTAGCCCCGACCGGCCACCCGCTCCAAAGTTTTCCCAGAGTTCTTCTTTGTCTCTGCGAGAGACACGGAAGCTGGATACGGAGCCTTTGGGATTTATCTGGCCGAGCCGGGTTGGTGAAGACGGAGCCCTCGGCTTCATCCAGACATAAGAGAATGGCGAGGGTGGGAACGGCCTGCCACGTTAAAATGCCTCTGCAGAGATCAGGCAATGACTGACAGACAGATTTGGTTTAAATAAAGTGTCAGCAAATGTGTGTGTGTGTGTGTGTGTTGTGTACGTATGTATATGTATGAGTGTGTGTTTGTGTATGTGTGTTATGTGTGTATGTGAATGGATGGATGGATGGATGGATGGATGGATGGATGGATGGATGCATAGATAGATAGATAGATAGATAGATAGATAGATAGATAGATAGATAGATAGATAGATAGATAGATAGATAGATAGATAGATATGGATGGATAGATAGATAGATAGATAGATAGATAGATAGATAGATAGATAGATAGATAGATAGATAGATAGATAGATAGATAGATAGATAGATAGATATGGATGGATAGATGGATGATAGATAGATAGATAGATAGATAGATAGATAGATAGATAGATAGATAGATAGATAGACAGACAGACAGACAGACAGACAGACAGATGAGAGAGAGAGAGAAAGANAGATAGATAGATAGATAGATAGATATGGATGGATAGATGGATGATAGATAGATAGATAGATAGATAGATAGATAGATAGATAGATAGATAGATAGATAGATAGATAGATAGATAGATAGATAGACAGATGAGAGAGAGAGAGAAAGATGATAGATAAATGAATAGATAGATAGATGAATAGATAGAGATAGATAGATAGATAGATAGATAGATAGATAGATAGATAGACAGATGAGAGAGAGAGAGAAAGATGATAGATAAATGAATAGATAGATAGATGAATAGATAGAGATAGATAGATAGATAGATAGATAGATAGATAGATAGATAGATAGATAGATAGATAGATAGATAGATAGATGGATGATAGATAGATAGATAGATAGATAGATAGATAGATAGATAGATAGATAGATAGATAGATAGATAGATAGATAGATAGATAGATAGATAGATAGATTGTATATATTTAATTTTACATGTACTAACCGCAGTAAGAATTGTATTTGACCAATATTGGAAAAATGAAAACTTACCAGCGGAAGAAGAACTAATTAAGAGAAGTTTAGATTGTGCAGAAATGGACAGATTGACATTAAAGATAAAAGAGAAAGAAGATTCGGTATACTTTAGAATGTGGGACAATTTTTACCAGTGGTTAGAAAAGCGAGTTAGAGAGAAAGGAATGTGATATATACTATGTAACATTGAATATATACTAATAAGAAGAAGACTATTGAGCAGTTAACTAACACATTGATTATGATAATATATAAATTAATTATTGCTCATTGTTTTTTTTTAAATACATGAACCCAGACAACATGCTGTTTGCTAAATATTAAGAAGGTTATTTTAAAAAAACTCTAACCCTAACCCCAATCCTAACCCTAACCGTATAAAAATTAATATAAAAATTTATATATATATATAAAAGAATTCAGACTTCGGTGCAAAGATCTTTCTCCTTTTCTAGATCTGCTTAAATAGATCATGCGTGGACGTGGCTGTGCTGGATTTCGACTGCGATCACTCCGTCTGTAGAAGCCGAGGGGTATGTGGCAAACTGGGGTGCTTAACTGGGGCGCCCAAGGGTGCCCCCCCCCCAAAAATGAAGATGGCGGCCACAATAGTGCAGATCAAAGCAATTCTCACTGGCCATCCGGGAAGAATTCATCACTTCCTGCCTTTGGGTTAGTGGTGGCTGAGGAGGCGATGGAGTTTGCGTCTCACACAACCCTGAAGTGGGAGCCATCTCTGGCTAGGATGGGAGTGTGATTGCGAAGCTGTTCCTTGTGGGCCTGTCCAGACGGCCGGTGGATTTCGCCGATCCACGATATCTCCTTGTCTGTTTTCAGGTCTGCAACAGCAACCGGAACTGCCATTGCTCTTACGGATGGGCCCCTCCCTTGTGCACTGATCCAGGGTTTGGGGGGAGCATCGACAGTGGGCCCCCTCCCCCCTACCAGCGTAAGCCGCCTCCCTATCCTGTCCTCTTCCTGCTTCTTGGCTTCCCATCTCGTTCAGACCAGCCGTCTTTCATGCCTAAGGCGGGACTAGAACTCACCGTCTCCTGGTGATTGGCCCAAAGTCACTCAGTTGGCTTTCATGGCTAAGGCAGGACTAGAACTCACCGTCTCCTGGTGATTGGCCCAAAGTCACCCAGTCGGCTTTCATGACTAAGGCGGGATTAGAACTCGCTGTCACCTGGTGATTGGCCCAATGTCACCCAGTCGGCTTTCATGGCTAAGGTGGGACTAGAACTCCCCGTCTCCTCCATTAACCGGGTTTCAGTGAGTCAGTCGAAAGTACCGATTCCGCCCTGATCTTGAGTGACAGAGGACCATTAACCGGGTTTCAGTAGGTCAGCCTTTTCATGACTAAGGCGGGACTAGAACTCACCGTCACCTGGTGATTGGCCCAAAGTCACTCAGTCGGCTTTCATGGCTAAGGCGGGACTAGAACTCACTGTCTCCTGGTGATTGGCCCAAAGTCACCCAGTTCGCTTTCCTGCCTAAGGCGGGACTAGAACTCACCGTCTCCTGGTGATTGGCCCAAAGTCACTCAGTCGGCTTTCATGGCTAAGGCGGGACTAGAACTCACCGTCTCCTGGTGATTGGCCCAAAGTCACCCAGTTGGCTTTCATGGCTAAGGCGGGACTAGAACTCACCGTCTCCTGGTGACTGACCCAAGATGACTCAGTTGGCTTTCATGCCTAAGGTGCGTGAGGTTTTATATCAAAATCTATTTTATTCGTTACGCTGTTTCCATCTTCCCTTAAAACGTTCACAGAATCCACAATGGACTGAGAATCAACGCCTCCGCTAGAAAATTGGCGGTCAAGCTGAAACTCAATTAATCAAGTGAAAATATCCAACGGGGAAAATCCTTTGGTCAAACTTCCTCAAATCTCCCAAATCAGTTACCCAGACCTAATCCACATATCAAAGGAGACGGTCTGCAAACACAAATAGAGTTAATTCAATTAGGTCTCCCGGAGGAACTGCATGCTCACAAGAATACATATCTACACACATAGACACTCACACACACACATCCCTCAAATGTCAGCCCAGAATCAGCACGTAGACATTTCCACACCCAGGACAACATAAAACTACGTCGCTGTTGCCCATTTCTCTGTAGCGGCCCCTAAAGGCGAACTCCTTGTTTTGGGGCCTAAATATTTCTTCTTTCCTCACAGCGGTCTGGATCTCATTTTTGCTTATTCTTGCGTAGCTCCGGGTTCCAGTTGGAACCCCCAAATTATTCTTCTGACAAGTTGGACTAGAACTCACCACGTCCAGGTGTCGTGCAAGGGGCGGAGCCTCTTCAGCATCTGCCCCCTTTGCTCTTTCACACCCTGACCATTGCCCCCAAACTGTGGTTGTGCACCAACACACCCAAGCAACCCCTGCTCACGGTCCTTCTCTCCTTCGTCCCCAGTGCCCACCATCGTCATCGTCGGACTGTTCACCCTGACCGGGCTGGTCGTCCTGCTGGCGGGGGTCTTCATCTCGCGTCACGTGGACGTCTTGTAAGTCAACTGCCTTCCTGATGCCGGGATATAGGAGGAGGAGGAAGAGGAGGAGGATGTGGCTGGAGGGGCTCGCGTTCGAATCCTTGGCGCACAAGGTGCCTGCTGAGAATCCACAAAAGCTTCACACTGCTCTTTTCTTTCCAGCTTTAAACTGATGGCAGCCATTCCCAAACGGCGCCCCCAAAAATCGGCCAGTAAAGTAAGTGATGGAAAGGACCCACCTCTTGTTGTTTGGGGGGGGGTCTCACCCCTAATCCACCCCCGTCTACCAGCCTTTTAGAACAGAGATCACCAACCTTTGTCGGTTGGCAGACCGGAGGAAAAGGGAGGTGTTGAAGGAAAAGTCTTCATCAGGGTTCAGTCCAAGCTGGGAATAAACGACATGGCGACTGCTTTAGAAATAAATTTATTGCAGTTTATTGAAGAGGAGACCCAGGTGACTCTGGCAGAAAAGAGAGTGAGCACATGTAGGGAGTGGGTTTTTATACCCTCTGGAGCCTTTTGTTTGGAGTTGTTCCTGTAACACAGTGGTTCTCAACCTGTGGGTCGGGACCCCATTTGGGGTCGATCGACCATTTCACGGGGGTCGCCAAGCAAGGCTGTCCGCCATTTTTTTCCCCCTTTTCCAGCGGGTGCCTTACCTTCCTTGAGCTGGGCCAGCTGGTGGTCGGCCTGCTCCGTCTCTGCCGCTTGCCAGCTACGCCTCGGCCGGCGCAGGGGGCGGAACCACGCATGCGCAGCGCTCCCGGGCAGGGAAAGTCCTCGACGTACAACCAGTTGGGTAGTCCTCGACTTACGACCGGTTTAGTCCTCGACTTACGACCGGTTTAGTCCTCGACTTACGACCGGTTGGGGTCGCGGCATTAAAAAGGTTGAGAACCACTGCTGTAACATGTACTTTGACCTGAGTCTGAGTGTGCCTTTCTGATATTCTGATGGTGGTGGGTTAATCCTATTATGCCCCAATGGTCATATCCTGCTTCCCTGGGGCTGGGGCTGATGACTCTTAGATTTTTGGTGTGTTGATTCTAGGGATCTTTCTTCCTAATCCCAGTTTCCTGATTCCACATCTGCATTTCTGTTTGGGACAGAGAGACTTGGGGGTGGGGGGGTTGGTTTCTGCTTTTAAAATCCTTTAGGGAAACATATTCTGCCTTTTAAATATTTCCAAAAATATTTCTTTCTCTGGGGGGGGGTTAATTCCCACCAATGGGAAAGCATTTTACATGCGTGCGTGCATGCGCGCACGGGGCCGCAAGCATGTGCGGCCTGCAAATGGGGCGGGGATAGCGCCCGCGTGATACTCCCTAGCCCTGCCCTGTTTTTGCATGGCGCACCGCCTTCTTTCTGCACCCTGTGGTGTGGCAGCAGCCCGTTTTTGCACCCCGTAGTGTGGCGGCGGCCATTTCTGCACCCTGAGGCACAGCTGCAGCCCGTTTTTGTGCCCTGCGGCCACGGCCCTACCACAAGTGAGGGGGTACACGCGCACACACTGGCCAGCCTGTCCCACAGCCCAGTGATTGGGGACCCTTGTTTTAGAAGGCAAATGCTGGAGGACACCTGTACAGGAAGTCCTTGAGTTACAGCCATTCATTCAGTGACCGTTCAAAGTTACAACGGCACTGAAAAAACGGACATGACTGCTTTTCACACGTACGACCCTTGCAGTGTCGCCGTGGTCAGGTGATCAAAATTCAAACACTTGGCAACTGACTCATATTTATGACGGTTGCAGTGTCCCGGAGTCATGTGATCCCCAATGGGGGAAGCCAGATTCACTTAACAACGGTGTTACTAACTTAATAGCTGCAGTGATTCACTTAACAATGGTGGCAAGAAAGGTCGCAAAACGGGGCAAAACTCAGTTAACAAGCCTCTCGTGGAAATTTTTGGGCTCAATTGTGGTCATAAGCTGAAGAACTACCTGTATGTTCTGACAGGTAGTCCATAGCTTACAGCCATACCTGGAAATTTCCGAGGGGAAGGAGAGTGAAGCTTCTGCCACCATCTCAGAAATAATATTTATTTATTTACTAGCTGTACCCGGCCACGCGTTGCTGTGGCTCAGTCTGGTTAGCGTGTGTTGCTTTTACGTCCAACAGATGGCGCTGTTTTTCAAAAAAAGCATGTTTTTACCTGTCACAGGTGTGACATCTATGTAATAGTAGGTATATAAAAACACGCACGTATTCGAATGCAACCTTGTGTCAAAATTTCAAAGCAATCGGTGAAGAACTTTCGGAGATTTAAGATTTTGAACAAACGAACATTTACATTTTTATTTATATAGATGCAGCGTATGGCACATCATATATGGACTTGCAGTATATATTAGAATTTCACCTAAAATAAAAACAAAGCAAAAAAGGCTGGCTCAGGAGTTGTGGGAGTTGAAGTCCAGACTTCATAAAGGGGCCATAGTTTAGCTCAGGAATTGTGGGAGTTGAAGTCCAGAGGTCACAAAGGGGCCATACTTGGCTCAGGAATTGTGGGTGGGAGTTGAAGTCCACGGGTCGTAAAGTTGACTTAGTTGCCCACTTAGGTTACAATAATCCTAATTTTTTTCCCCTCTGTCTCTTCCAGAGAGCCCTGAGAGGCAAATCCTCAAAGACCGGCATGAGGCGGTCGCGTAGCGGTTTGAGAAGCACTTCCTCCGTCAGGCTAAAAAAGTCCAGAACTACCGTTTCAGTCCAAAATCAAAGAAGTACCCCATACGTGAAAAGCCCCGAATTAAAAAGCGCCATATCCACCTCCAGAGCCGGGAAATCCAGATTAGATGTCACTTTTGCCACCTAGATTTAATCTCTCTCACATACAACACACACACACACACACCATTTTTCAGTGGAATCTTCTGCCGTTGGATTAAAATATCCCGTTTCTTGCCTTGGACTCTCCAGTCTTCAAATAAAATGTTGTTTCCCCTCCCCTTGTTTTGACTATTATTTGCATTTCCTATAATAATATTAATGATGATGATGATGATGATGATGATGATGATGATGATAAAGTTGGAAGGGACCTTGGAGGTCATCTAGTCCAACCCCCTGCTTAGGCAGGAAACCCTATACCATTTCGGACAAATGGCTGTCCAGTCTCTTCTTAAAAACTTCCAGTGTTGGAGCATTCACTGCTTCTGGAGGCAGGTTGTTCCACTGGTTAATTGTTCTCACTGTCAGGAAGTTTCTCCTTAGTTCCAGGTTGCTTCTCTCCTTGATGAGTTTCCATCCGTTGCTTCTTGTCCTGCCTTCAGGCGCCTTGGAGAATAGCTTGACTCCCTCTTCTTTGGGGCAGCCCCTGAGATACTGGAAGACTGCTATCATGTCCCCCCTCGTCCTTCTCTTCATTAAACTAGACATCCCCAATTCCAGCAGCCTTTCCTTATATGCTTTAGCCTCCAGTCCCCTAATCATCTTTGTTGCTCTTCTCTGCCCCTTTATGAAGTCTGGACTTCAACTCCCACAACTCCTGAGCCAGCCTTTTTTGCTTTGTTTTTATTTTAGGTGAAATTCTAATATATACTGCAAGTATATATTATTGCATGTATATATATATTGTTGCTCTGTGGCCTTACCAAGGCCTTGTAAAGTGGTATTAACACTTCACGTGATAAAGGGCTTCCCAGAATTCTTGAGGAATTGATCTCCTTCAGCTATTCTCCTTGGCTTCTTGCAAAATTATTCTTCCTTTTCCGGGGATATTACATGACACACACACAGAGAGAGAGACAGACAAAACACACACACCGGTTGCGGAAAGGGAGCGAAGCTTCTGCCACCATCTCAGAAATAATGTCTATTTGTTTATTTGGCATATTGCAAATCATACATGGCCTTGCCAGATATATTTAGCATTTCACCTAGACCAGGGGTAGGCAACCTTGGCTCTTTTATGACTGGTGGACTTCAACTCCCAGAATTCCTGAGCCAGCCATGCTGAGGGGAAAGGGAGAGGTTTCCAAGCTGAGCCATGCTGGCTGAGGAATTCTGGGAGTTGAAGTCCACCAGTCATGAAGGGGCCATAGTTCCCCCATGCTGCTCAGGAATTCTGGGAGTTGAAGTCCACGAGTCATGAAGGGGCCAAAGTTTCCCCTATGCTGGCTGAGGAATTCTGGGAGTTGAAGTCCACGAGTCATGAAGGGGCCATAGTTCCCCCATGCTGGCTCAGGAATTATGGGAGTTGAAGTCCACAAGTCATGAAGGGCCCATAGTTCCCCATGCTGGCTCAGGAATTCTGGGAGTTGAAGTCCACGAGTCATGAGGGGGCCATAGTTCCCCCATGCTGGCTCAGGAATTCTGGGAGTTGAAGTCCACAAGTCATAAAAGAGCCCAGGTTCCCCATACCTGGTCTAGGCCATCTAAACATTGAAGCTGAAACAAATTTATACCAAGTTTATAAATACGGCAAAATCAAGACGAGAATCAAGACCGACAACGGGCTAAAAAGACACTATCCCAGCATTCCCCTGGCTGGGGAATTCTGGGAGTTGAAGTCCAGCCATCTTAAAGTTGCTGAGGTAGAGAATTACTGCTCTGGTCATCTTTCTCCCTGTAGATCAGGGTTTCTCCACCTTGGCAACTTTCAGAAGGGTGGACTTCAACTCCCAGAATTCCCCGGCCGGCTATGCTTGAGGTCCCGCCCGGTGGATCAAGGTCTCAATGGAATTCTGGAAAGGGGAGGGGCTTGGACTTGATTGGCAGCTGGAGAGGCCGAGCATGATGCCCTTCAAACATGGCGGTCATCATCCCAGCAAAAACTAAAATGTGAATTTATCCAGTTCATAATAAAGCATCCCACTTGCTGTCTCGGTGAGCCCTCTGCAGGAAAACTCTTGCAAAATGTATTTTTCAAGAAAGTTTTTCCCTGTTTTAAGGAGCTCTCTCTCAATTTTTCCCCTCTTTAGCTAGATACGGCATTTGGAGGGAAGACAGAGAAGGGGTGCAACTCAAACAGACGGAAGTGGTTGCTTTTCACTCAATTACAGGTAGGTCCTTGACTTACAGTTGTTCGTTTAGTGACCGTTCGAAGTTACGACGTCACTGGAAAAAAATGACTGATGACCATTTTTCACGCTTATGACACTTGCAGCATCCCCAGGGTCACGTGATCAGAATTCAGACGCTTGGCAACTGACTCGTGTTTATGACGGTCGCAGCGTCCCAGGGTCACGTTTTCCTCTTTTGCGACCTTCTGACAAGGGTGGGGTTCATTTTGCAACCCTGTTACTAGCTTAACAACTGCGGTGATTCGCTGAACAACTCTGACAAGAAAGATTGTAAAATGGGGCAAAATTCACTTAATGCTTAACATGAGCAGGGGATTGGGCTAGCAGACCTCCAAGGTCCCTTCCAACTCTATTATTCTGTTATTTATCAAGGAGAAGAGAAGAGAAGAGAAGAGAAGAGAAGAGAAGAGAAGAGAAGAGAAGAGAAGAGAAGAGAAGAGAAGAGAAGAGAAGAGAAGAGAAGAGAAGAGAAGAGAAGAATAAAATACAGAATAGAATAGAATAGAATAGAATAATAAAATACAGAACAGAACAGAATAGAATAGAATAATAAAATATAGAACAGAATAGAATAATAAAATATAGAATAGAACAGAATAGAATAATAAAATACAGAATAGAATAGAATAGAATAATAAAATACAGAATAGAATAGAATAGAATAGAATAATAAAATACAGAACAGAATAGAATAATAAAATATAGAATAGAATAGAATAGAATAGAATAGAATAGAATAGAATAGAATAGAATAGAATAGAAGATGGAAGGGACCTTGGAGGTCTTCTAGTCCAGCCTCCTGCTCAAGTAGGAAAGATCCAACCTAGAAATAAGAAGAAATATCCTGGACAGTGAGAACAATTAATCAGTGGAATGATTTGCCTTCAGACATTGTGGGTTCTCCATCATTGGAAGTTTTAAAGAACAGATGGGACAATAATTTGTTCGGGATGCTATAAGGTCTCCTGCCTGAACAGGGGTTGGACTACTAGAAGACCTCCAAGGTCCCTCCCAACATCCTCATCCTCATCCTCATCCTCATCATTATCATTATCATCATCATCATCATCATCATCATCATCATCATCATCATCATCATCATCATCATCATCATTATCATTATCATTATTATTCCCAATGTCCTTGGAAGACCTCCAAGGACAGCGGTGGATTATATCTGTATTTCTTTCTCTTATCTGAAGTGTGCCAGCTTATCTGGGTGGAGAAGTGGATAATGTAACAAACATATAAATATGAATGTCAAAATGTGTTCAAGGTTCCCTCTTGCTAAGGGGGGGGGGCGTCTTTATTCAGCTGAATAAACACGTATGCTTATCAAGATAAATACCTGGACTCTGTCTTTCTTTATACCAAGCCACACCTGAAACCAGCAAATCAGAGGCGTTCAAAAAAAAAAAAAGACTGGACAGCCACATGTCAAAATGGTATAGATAGAGTCTCCTGCTTGAGCAGGGGGCTGGACTAGAAGACCTTCATGCCCCCTTCTATCTCTGTTCTTCTGTAAGGGTCTCCTGCTTGAGCAGGGGGCTGGACTAGAAGACCTCCAAGGCCCCTTCCAGCTCTATTCTGATTCCGATTCCTTACACAGCATCTAAAACAGCTGAAAGCTTGTACACGCTGCATTTTGATTGCTGTTTTAATCGGTCGTTTGTCACTTATTCTTCTGTTTTGTAATCTACCAGTGGGCGATTGATAATACTCCGAGCTGAACGTAATTGGAAATTTAACAACAGCAAGGAGCGTAAATCACAGAGCTCATTTCAAAGGCATTGGCCACGGATGCAGCTTTACCGTTTGATTGCGGATTGGGTGGCCAGTAATTACTTTATGCTAAACGAGCAGGGGGGGGGGGTTCTCCCCTTCGTCAGTGGCTGTAAATATGCGCAATCAGAAACACCAGGGTTAGAAAAGATGCTAGGAAAACATGTAGATTTGAAACCTGAACTTTTTTTATTAGGCATCAATACCAGAAAAATCTGATAAGCAAAGTGTATATTTAATATTGCATGTAACTAACAGCAGGGAAGATTACATACATGAGGCTAAAATATATGAGGAACGGTTGCTGGAATTGGGTATGTCTAGTTTAATGAAGAGAAGGACGAGGGGGGACACGATAGCAGCCTTCCAGTATCTCAGGGGCTGCCCCAAAGAAGAGGGAGTCAAGCTATTCTCCAAAGCGCCTGAAGGCAGACAAGAAGTAACAGATGGAAACCAATCAAGGAGAGAAGCAACCTAGAACTAAGGAGAAACTTCCTGATAGTTAGAACAATTAACCAGTGGAACCACCTGCCTCCAGAAGCGGTGAATGCTCCGACACTGGAAGTTTTTAAGAAGAGACTGGACAGCCATTTGTCTGAAATGGTACAGGGTTGCCTGCCTGAGCAGGGGGTTGGACTGGATGACCTCCAAGGTCCCTTCCAACTTTATTATTATTATTATTATTATTATTATTATTATTATTATTATTATTATTATTATTATTATTATTATTATTATTACTACTACTACTATTTGCTCAGCACTGGAAAAATGAAAAAACACCATTGGGCGAAGAGATAATCAAGAAAATACTGGGCTGGGCTGAAATGGACAGACTTACATGAG